CCCCAAAACCCCAAAACCCCAAAACCCCGGCATCATTTAGTTAATAAATCTGTGACGTTGTTAAAAATTAATAACTTAAAAACACTAATATACTCCAGGTTAAAATATTAATAGATATACAATGAAACTAATTCGAATCGAATATTGGATTAGCAAGGTCGATTGTTATCACATACAATAGAGTTAATACATTATAGCTCAGTTATAGCATTTATTTCTACTGCAGCACACTTTGCTGTCATTTTGGCTTATTGAATTGGAATATTTCTTGCATAGTTTTATGCTTTTTTTGTTTATACAGATATCTGTTTCTATCCTATTACTAGTCATGAATAGAGAGCTTTTGCAATTTGTCAAGTAAGTATTGCTCTTGTTCATCTCCTCCTACCTCTCAATGTAGGATCCTTCTTTTAGAATTTCTTTTACCAGAATTCCAAAGGCCTTCTTTATATTCTCACCAGTCTTGGCTGACGTTTTGAACATCAAGTCAATTTTTAAAATTTCTTTAAGTTTCTAAGTTTCAATTTGCTGGTCACACGAGTAATCTTCTGTCAAAGTTCCTCTAGCAGTACCTTAGATCAGGTATTTATCACTATCGTCGTGATCCTATGCCTTGTAAGATGGCTCATCTTTGCTCTTGGTATCTGTGCTCTAAGTCTTGGTCTCGCACGAATCGACTTTATTCAGCAAAAGTATCAGTGGAATCGGGCGACCATCTGATAACTGAGTTTTCTAGTCTAATAGCCTGCGCCATTCCTTTAATTTCATCAGACTTTCATGCTGGGTGAGGGGATTGCTGAATTTATTATAGTCCTCAACAAGCACAGCTCCATAGCACCCTCTCAAATATATGTCAAATGAAGATCTTATTCGCTCGGATCCAGTCGTATCCCAGAATTGCAAGTTAATGTCCTGACCAGATATTAGCACAGACTTTTAGAAAAAATTGGCGCCAATGGTTGGTCTGTAGTTCTAATCAAAGGTATTTTATATGAAAGATCTAATGATTGAAGTTTTTCCGACTCCTGTATCTCCAACTACTACTATTTTCAGCATTTTTTCCTGTATTTTTTATAATTTTCGCAAATTGATTGTAATTTAAATGATTTGATTTTCTTAAATGAAATAAATTTCGCTTCAGGGGTTTTGGGGTTTTGGGGTTTTGGGG